CCTTCTTTTATAGACACAGCACACAATGGCTCCTTTCAAAACAACCGTTCGAAAAAAGCAGCTGTAGCGGAACCTGTGGAGGATTGGATTTTTCTCAGCTGGGACTGAACTTATTTTGCTTATTTGAAAGGGATACGTGTTGAGATGACGGACATTCTTTAGGTTAGGCCCCTGTCAAGTAGTCATTCACTCACGCACGAGACGATGATGATGATGATGAGAGTCCAACCTGTGGCTTCTTGACCGAACGAACGGGTGAGTAAATTTATAGAAATACAGCCTGTCCGGCTGGCCCACTTGTTGATGTGCAGGGAGAGAAAGATGGGTACATTTTTACTTCCACTCCCGCACACAGAGATGCTCAGCTTAGGGGGGGTCAATATTTAATGCAATTGTTTGCTGCAGATCATACATAAAGCCATCAAAACTGTCGCAAATCAACTCTTTTCATGAAAATTTCAAACCTAATAGCAAGGAAGTTGATATTCTTGATGAGCTCATCAATAGGCCTTTAACTATATCTATAAGGGGTCAGAGATAGAATTATAACAAAGAGAGAGAGAGAGAGAGAGAGAGAGTGGGGGTGTGGAAGAGAGAGATTTAAATGTTGCTTGTGTTCACCTTAATGAAACAATTGATTGTATTTAAATTATACTTAAAGCCAATGTCGGCCCTTTTTCTTGTTTTCCTAGAACTGGTGAGAAAAAGTGAAGAATGAATCAAAGGCCAAAAGCATATTGCATGTGATGTGTTTGTTTACAAGATTTCCCTATATGACTCATAGTCAATTAAAATGTCACACTTCACTTGGAATATCAAAGGTGTAATATTTGTGTTATGACGTGGTGAAATCAGACGCTCGTTAATTTTTGGGCATATATGGAGTTAATAGTAGGCCCTATATCCTTAAGCTTGTTTATTTGTCTTTCTTTCTGTGAAAAAAATACCCATCTATCTTGAAGAGAAGTCGAGATATTTGCCAGTGAAGGAGGTGGGTAGCCTGTTTTCTAAGATAAAATTTGCAAGAAAATTGCAGTCAAAGTTTGGTAACTTCTATAGCTTAAAAAAAATTAATATGTGTGAAAACTGAAAAATGACATATTTATGCCATTAATCGAGGTTTTTTTCAGTGAATTTCACACATGTAATATATATAGATGGACATAAAAGATATTGAGCCAGAATACAAAAATTCTTCAAAAATTTCCAAACTGAAGGATAAATGCCTGTTTCTTCAATTTCATTATTTTGAAGAACGCTAATTTCCCCCTGACACCTCACATTTTATTTGATGTAGTGTAAAATTTAACACCTTTTTTATAACTATTACATCATACAAAACTTTTATTTCTTTACATGGTATACGTGCCCAAATTTTCCAGGAATCTTCTTACCGTTGACAGTTCCCATCCACAATCATGCTAGTCAACCGGAAAACCAGCTTCAAGGACGGAATGCCTATGGCGGACTACGGACCTGATGAAAACCTGAACGACAATGCAGACATTGAATGGGTTAACAAAAGCTGGGTAGGTGTTTACGACTAGATTTTACTCATATAAATCTGAATTTTTGCTTTTACCCTCGTTAAATACACTTTTGAGTTTGATTTAGACAATGACAATGACAATATTTATTCATCTTGGAGGGAGAAATTTGTCTTGGTGGATTACAATTGCAGTGGATGTTACAAAGGTATGTGCACTCACACGTACGCACTACAAGACAGGACTTTAGTAAATCACGCGCTGAAACAACCTACTTCCGTTAAACATTCTCTCTCTCTCTTTCTCTCTCTTTCTCTCTCTCTCTCTCTCTCTCTCTCTCTCTCTCTCTCTCTCTCTCTCTCTCTCCGTCTCTCTCTCCTTCCCTCCCTCCCTCCCTCCCTCACTGCATTTGGTAAGAATGAATTTCTCTAACAAATTTCTTTAATACTTTAAGTCTGGGGGACATACAGCTGAATCTGCTCTAACGGCCACCTGTATATAAGACTAATAAGACAATCTTCTGTACAAATGGCTACCTTTCACTTCTTCCTCTTCGTATGTTTTAACATTATGACACAGTGTAAGATGGCCACCTGTCTAATATGGCCACTTTTTTACTCAACAATGGATTGCCATTTTAGACAGTTTCGATGGTATTTTTATATTCTGGCAGACATACACCTTGTTTTCACTCTGAGCCTTTGGTATGAAATCCTAATTTGACGACTTCCTTTAAATGTAGAGAACGGTCCTGTTGACTTCTGTGGAAAATATGCTAGGGATGGTACTATGTAAATACAATCACTTTTACACCATACTGAACTGGAGACAAAATATTAAAAAACCTCTCTCATGTTGCCATTTCTGGATGGTTCATTGGTGCAATCTTGTTTTTGTTCTTTGGTTAATGTCATGCTAAGGGACACAACCGAGGGATCCCCTGTCAAAAAGCCATAGTCTCTTACCGTTGTTTAGCATTTTAGGCCAAAGGTATGTGTTTTTAATTAAAAGTAAAGTTGCACCCTTCATTTAAAACTCGTTGATCTAGTGCTAAACATCTGGATCACCATGTGGTCATAGTGGGGTTGTAGTTATGTCTTGCAGGAACAGGAAACAGTACTATGTGATTACCATGATGTATGGGGGTGTGGGGGTTCAACTCTACCTTTACTGTTTTCCTTTTGTTCTGTTTTCCAGGTACGCCGGATTCTGCGCGTCTGTGCGTTTGTCAGTATGGTCTCAGTGAGCATGAACACTCCGAAGACCTTCGAGCTGTATTACTTCCTGCTCTATTTTACCTTCACCCTTGACCTCATCATCATGGCCTGTTTCACTGCGGAGCTGGTGGCGAAGATGCACATCAGGGGAGTTTGGAGGGTGCGTTGGTAACTTTAATCCTTTAAGCCTCAGTCCCCTGCATTTCTAGGACAAGACTCGTTGATCTGCTTCTCTTTGGGTTAACTGGAAAACTCACGGAGATGTCATTTTGTAAACTGAAGGGCATACATATGGCATTCAAACTCAGATGTCTGTTTGGCTCCATTGGGTTAAAAATATATAAGGGGCCGAGGTGCAAAACCCACTATATCCATTTAAGCACTTTTGAGAAAACAACTTTTTAAAAATGCTGCAATAAGCACAAACATGCGTAAAAAGAAGATTTTTTGTGGCTTTTAAGAAGTATATGTTGGGTTTTGGCAGAAAACGCTTTGTGCATCTGATAGCCGGAAACAATGTGCATTTATAAGCAAAAAAATATCGATTTTTTCCAAAATATCGCTTTGTTGATTTTGCATCTCACCCTCTCTCATATTATGGTTATTTCCTAAGGTTTTCTTTCTTTATTGTTGTGTCATTGTAGTACCAAAGAGTCCCTGAAAATTTATTTGAAAATGTTGTGCTTTTATGTTCCCATCGATACAATAGTAAGTCCCTGAGACAACGGATGCATTGTTTATGTATGTCTAAGTTGATATATTCATTTTATAGCAGTCATTTTTTTTTCTTTCAGAATGAATTACTTCATATCTCACCATATTAAAAGAAAATTATGCATCTGCCTTGAAAACCAATATATGGTACTTGTCTGACCTATATAATTTGGAGTCTGTCATAGCAGAAATCCATTATAAAGAGAGAAGATATCTTTACTCACATTTATGTTACTATTTTTTTTTTTTGGGGGGGGGGGGGG